AATATTCCTTTAGGAACTATATCCTATAGATCCTGTTTCTTTTTTCATCAAGTAGTAGCCATTGCTAAGTAATACAGCATGTATATTTTTCAACTTGAATTCCTATAAACTTCTAGTCTTGCCCAAAAGCTGAGAATCCAAAACATTAGTAATCAATTCTTTTCACATCATTAGGCAACCTTTTCCATTTTTTTCCTCCACTCCCTCCCGCACTGCAATCAGAAGGGATAAGGCTGGAGTTACTAGCTTTTGAATAAAGGATCACATTACCTGTATGTAACTGAGTGTCTCCTGTCTGAATTTTGGATTATTTCCTTTGTTATTGCACTTTGTGAAAGACTTCATGCTTTCACAAAATTCTCATTTCCAAAGTGAATTCTTCAATTCAGAGTAAGCCCAGAGCTCCAGAACAATTGACTTTCTGCCCCAAAATATGGTGACTCAAACTGCCCCTTCTTATTAGAATGGCAAACCCTATTCTTGTGTATTGTGTTCATAGCTCTTAGCACCGTGCCTATCCCATAGTAAATGCTTAACAAACGTGATTAATATTCTGTATTCCATGGGCATAATAAATGTTCTTGGGAGTTTTTTGCTGTTGATGGACACAAATAGTCTGTACATGTCGCAGGATATTAAGAAAATACAAAAGAATAAAAAGTTATACATGAAATTTGATTTATTAAGCCGTTTCTACCCAATAACACCTGAATTTGCTACTTTAAAAAGAACACAAAAGTACAAAACTGTAAAACTCTGAAAATTACATTTTTAAAAAAGCATTTTTAAAAATCAGTTCTTTAGGTTTGAGAGATGTAGCGTAAGAAAAAGTAACATGCAAAAAAGGTGGAAAATAAGCATTGATAAAAACAAGTTATTCACTATCAGCTACATGAAATGCAGAGAAACTGAATTCTCTCTTGACTAATGTCCTTATTAGTATTTTTGTAGAGTATTAGAACTAAAAGAAAAAATATATATGTGTGTATATATATATATAAAATCAACTTGTCAAGTTACTAAATATCTAAACAAATTCTAAATTCTGACTTGAATTATCTTGTAAGTTTCAATTAAAAAATTTTTTTAAATAACCAGGAATATTGCACCTTTGTCTTTAGGGAAAAGTTAAAACTACCATTTCATATCAAGAAATGAAAAGGAAGATGAATAAATAAGCTGAGTATAGTAATGCACTGTAATTACCTTTTGTAACTCAATTCAAACATTCAAACACTGATTATTTTTCTATCATGTCATACAGTCTAACTTCAACAAATTTTGAAAGCTGCATATAAAGCTGAGTAAATTTTCAAATTCTTAACCACTTAAGTATAGATCATATGCAAACATGCCATTACTATCATAACAAAACTGTAGGCATGTTGTAGGACAACTACATTTTTCAGCTTCCCCTTTGCCTCTTTTCTTCCATATAACGAAGCTAATAAAATAATTATAAATAAGCACCTTATTTGGCAATTCTGAAAGTCAAAAGAAATCTACTTATAAGCAAATGTTTTCTCAGATTGTTTTGGTGAAGCATTGTTATATTAGCTTCTCTAAATTCACTTTGTTTTTTAATGGACCTGCACATGAATTCTAATTTAAGTGCATATAAAGATGACTTGAGTAAAACTAAAACGGAATCACTGTCAAATAATTTAACTCCTGTATACTCCTTGTAAAGTCTGAAATGTGCTACTATTGTGCTACAGATATAAATTTTAGTCAGGCCAGTTAATTGCCAAAGTTCCTTGCCACTATCATAAGTCCTTGATCACATTATCAGACAGTTGATAGGCAGTAGTGATGTAAAGATCTCAGTCCCATAAGAAGGTAACCTTACAGGCAAAATGGAGACTGGAACACAGGTGACAGAAAAGAGGGGTAGGAGTATGAAAAGCCTATACCATTAAGAAACTAAACAGAGATTTTAGTAACTAAACTGAGAGATATCAGTAAGAAATGAGGGCTAACAGTTCTAAATTCACATCTCTGTAAATTGGAAATTGTACCTCATTTATACTATTCTAATTACTTGCCAAAGATAGTTGGTACATTCTAAATCCATCTTCTTATCTTCAGTAAATCCTCTGTGGTCTTAAGACCAAAAAACCCCACAAATTACCCTGTTTTAACGGATTTCTTGAAAAGATTCCGGAGATTTATTTAAGCATACTATAAAACCTCACAATATGTTGTCTTTAGTGGGGCTGGCTCAGTTCAAAACTGCAAAAAGTTTGTATTATGGAAATTCAATCATAAAATGACATTTTTCTACAAGTACCCGCAGAACTACAACCCTGTTTTAGATAATTTTTGGTATAATAAACAGGTAAGAATAATTTGCAACTAGCACATTCACTATTTACAAACACATACTACTATTAAAATAGTTTTATGAGCAGGTTTTACATTTTTCTTCCTTTACATCTTTATCAACTTTTGAAAAAAACACTTTCCCCCCTTAATTAGTGCAAAAACAGAACAAAATGCCTCCACCTAGCATGAAAAAAATATAACAAATTCCAACTTAATGAGGTTTCACTGTCCACATAAAATATATTTACAGGCTCCCCCTAGTAACCTATTCCTTGGTTCATTACTATATTCATGAAAAATCATCTTCCATAGCAAGCATATATAGCAATACAAATGCATATTCATTTTGAAACATCCCAGTATCTAATGATGCAGAGCTTTCTTTTAAACCTATTTGTATTAAAAGGGCTGGGGGAGGAGGGACAAAATGGATAATTTTATACTTTCTTTTATGCATTTAAAGGGTAAATGAACATAGAAACAAAGGAAGAAACCAGTAACAGGAATAAATAAATTAAGATTCACGAGGCAGTCTTGGCCCATACAACATGAGGTCATACATACAAGTTTATAAAGTTTTTCACAATTACATTTAGGATATATAATAAAATGGCTGAAAAAATCCATTAAATGCCCAATAGCTTATTAGAATACTTTAGAATTTCAGTAACCAGCATGTTGCACTTACCATAAACCATCTTTTCTTCTTTCTGACAGTAAAAAAGCAGTATGCTTTCTTAATTTTTCTTCCCTATCTACTGGTGCTAGAGACCAATTGAAAGCAAAAACATACCATTCCCAACAATTTCCTCACACGTGTAACTATTTCTCCCCAGTCTACCTGTACTGTAAAACAGAGAACTGAGTCTTAAGTTAGGTTGCACATTATTTCCAAACCTGTTCAACAACTCATTTCCCAACTACCTCTGAGCACCTGTTTTCATATCTATAAAACTGGAGTGTTGTGAAGTCTATAAACTCTCCTAAATACCTGGATGTCACTATTAGCAACTAAATGAATGGTGACTCAAAAAAAGTAAATTATCTTTATGTAAATAATTTATTTTAAAAAAGTCAATTATTTTAAGTTTGTCTTTACAAAGACAGTCTGCATTCATGTTTAAATCAATTTGTAAATGTGTAAGATTGTAAGAAGCAACCATACCCATTACAATTTGCACATGACAATTTTTCTAATATGCTAAAACATATGTGTATTTGAGTAATGGTTAAAAAGTAAAACTAACTAGTTAATATTCCATTGTTTCCTAGGTCTAGATGAGTGGTGAGAAGCAAAGATTATCTTCAGACAGCAGCATTCAAACACAAAGGTAGTCAGTGTTATACTTAAGAACTTGGTACCACAGGGCATTACAGTTTTCATTCACTTAATTTTAGCCATGAATAATTCTATCATAGGGATAGAGAAACATGTAGTTTCATCTCTCTTTACTTCCATATATTTTGTTTTCAATCACCAGATCACTGTATGAAGTAAAAGAAAATTGTAGGTAATGTAAACAATTTTAAATCCCTGAATTTTGAATTTCATGAAAGACTTTTCAAGTTAAGGGCCAGTCTAGATGAGACTAACTAATGAAATTATTCAGTTTCTTGCAAATAGTTTGTTTTATATCCTCATACTTTGTTCAAACACATTTTGTGTTGTATTTTGAAAAGACAGAAATCTTATGTAAGTGAAGTTCTTGACATCTGAAAATTAGTGACCTCTTCTGGTTTCGAATTTAAGTAGTAAATTAAAACAGAAGGAAAATAGAACCAGCACAAGGCCCAAGATATAAAGAGTCTATCTTACTAAAGATGCCAAGTCTCAATCTTTATAAAAGTCCCTCTCATCAAGTCTCTAGGCTAATAAGATACTGGGAATCTTTAACTTCCAATAGTCAATTTTGCTCCTTTTTTGGGTTAATCCAATCTCATGCTTCCTTTTTACAATTCTACTTATGTTAAAATCTTGAGAGGTGGCATCTCCATACCAGGAACAAATAACATGTAAAATTTTAATTGTAAAATGAATGTTGTATCAACATTCACACAGCATCAACAATTAGAAAAATTATACAGCAATTTACTTTTTCCAAAGAAGACATTAATAAGTCAAGTACACACCCAAATCAAAATTACCTCTTGATCTGAATTACAGAAATGATTCCATTTTAATTAAATAAGGCTATTAGCTACAAAAAATGCTCAGGAACATAATTCACTGTCACATGGACTTAAACCGCTGAGACAATTACAAAGTGCTGTCCTGTACTATACTGTTATGATTTTCATAGTCTAATAAATCCCTAACATATTAACTTGTAATTATCTATGCTAACAGAAAAAAAGTATTAGTGGTAATACTGCAAAATTGTGGATAGTCAGACTCAAATATTCAATGAATCTCTTAGGTAGGTAGCAGGATAAATAGTAAAGACAGGACAATAGGAAGCAATCTTTAAATAGAATGAACAAGCTGATAATGCTGAATTCAGACTTTACGCCTCCCTTTTGATAAGCTTCCTTTTATTTATCTATCTATTTATTTATTTATATAGGTTAGGCAATGGGGTTAAGTGACTTGCCCAGGGTCACACAGCTAGTAAGTGTTATGTGTCTGAGGCTGGATTTGAACTCAGGGCTGGTGCTCTATCCACTGAACCATCTAGCTGCCCCCCCCAATAAGCTTCCTTTTAAATGACCACTTTTCAAATCCCAATCTTATGCCAAACAACAAAATAAAAAGATAAGCATTCCAACAAACATCTTACAAAAAGTTTTTACATAGAATAAGGCTAGGTCCCTAATATCATCAGAAAAAAGTTTGGAAAATAATCATGCTATTAACTCTCTACCCCTTTCATGCCTAGGAACAATGGAGGGAAAAGGAAAACAAAAAAGGCTTTTGCATATACCTGCATAGGAAGCCTGGGAGAGTGAAAGTAGCCAATGAGTAAGTTGGGCAGCATGCAGATGATGTATACCAGAGATAAAGAGTTAACAGTACTTGATGCTTAATTATGAAAAATTCCAAATTGCCTCAAATAAGACAAATCATATTGTTCAGGTTTTTGAAAAGTTATTGAGCCACATAACGGGGAAACAAATATTAATTTTATTAGAATTTGAACAGGTAATATAACAAAACCAAATTATAACATGGAAATATGGTGGATCACACAAACAAAAAAATGTTACTGGAGATAATGTGACAACAGATATATGAAATAGAAAATGTACCTTGGGAATCTAAGTCAACACAAGAGGTTTATGACCATAAGCTCAACAGTCTAAATTCGTACCATGACAAAATCAAAGGGAAATGAATGCTTCTGTTATCTTGACTATATATACACTTTCTTTTCCATATCTTCAATATTTTATACAGCAGAATTTTATTATCTGTTATTTTCATTTCTGATTTCTCATAAAAACTTAATATTTGCTTATACAACTCGGCATCTCACATATGACAAATCAGGTATAGGCACTGAGAAATGAGGATAGTTATGCTACTTAAAATGACTGGCAAAGAAAGAGTTGATTGTTCTTCAGCTGTATGATATTTTCAACTGCAATAAGGGCCCAATTCAGCAAAAACAATTCTTAACTGTTGCAGAACTCCTTTCCGGTGGCCAAGGAATGCTTTGCCCAGCCTGATTGCCATACATGGAAATAAAGAACTTAGTAATAATATAGCACACTCAGGATCTGACATAGGAAAGGAGATGAAAAAAGACACATTAGTGTTTCAGAATTTATAGGTGTAAAGATGACAAATTACCACTACCATAAGGTACCAAGAGCCAGAAATTATTTGTGGCTCCCCCCAAAATATTTAGAGTAAATGTGTCACCATCTTCCCAGGTTAATATTCTCAAACGCTGATCCATTCATTCTCATGCTAAATAGTGGCATTAGTCATCAACCTCATCAGGTCAATAACAGTCCACAGAAAGCTGAAAACTATAATGAAATACTCCAAGTGTGATGTTCATGGGACATATTCCTACACTACTTGATTTCTATCCAAAAATATTATACTCATTTCTTGTTACGGAAGACTGTATGGAAACTATCTAGTAGTGTTTTCAAAGGTTAGTGAAAATGGCTTAAGATGCATTTATGTAGTTAATGGGTTGTCATCTTATGAAGACAATATACTGTTTACTGATATTTTAAGATGCCCCTTAGAATATACAGTGGCATTTTTTGACCAAAGTAAAAGAGTAAGGCCTATAAAATATGTATGAGTTAAGCCCTTTGAATATTTAAAATTTGTGCATCTGATATTCCTAATTCACAAACCTAACATGAGGTATATGTTCCCCCCACCTTTCTTCACTTGATCTTAACCCAAATAGTCTTAGAAGTAATATACCCACTTCTCTTAAAACCCTATCAAACACCCAGCAAAATAATTAATGTCATGAACATCTGAGTTAAAGTAAATGTGTATGCAAAGATTTTTAAGCATTCATCTTTTATGATTTTACTTTAACTTGTTAACTATAACATATTTCCATGAAGTTTGGTGTTAGCTATACAAAAATAGGTAGAAATAGTTTTGCTTTCTGTGTGACTCCTACAAATACACAAAAGTAATTAATTACCATTTGGGTATTTTAAAGAAACAATAAATGTTTTGATCACACTGCTTAACATCTTTCTAAACTATACATTCTAGGTCACCTATGTGTCAACAATTGTAAAAGGAAAGTACTAAGAACAAGAATGCCGCAGTTTTTATGGCAGTACTAAAATAGTTTAGTTATTTTAAAATCTAAAATATATATTGCAAACTTAATTGTTTCAGTTTTTGAATGCAAAGGGTCACACCTTGCAGAAAACAAGTACAAAATCATTTGGTCAGGATCTTGTTAGTGTATTAAACTCAAAAAATCTGTGATCTGAAATGTGCACACATTAAAAATACTAATTCTAAATACCTATTCAACAAAAATATGACCAACATAAGTTAGAAAAAACTATCCTGTCCAGCAAGTTTCAAAAGTTTCAAACATTAAGGCAAATTGTTTTCTTCCAATTAAATTGTACTTATTTTATAAAAAATAAAGGTCACTTCAAAACATTATATACATAGTGACAAGATTTTGCTAGACATTTGCTTTAGTACATTAATAAAGTGTCACATATTACACAGAGGTGATAGTAGGTGTGATTGTGCGCAAAAGAAGTAACTATCATTTAAAGTACAGGTTTCAAGACTGAGCGCAGTGATCGTCCTTCTTTAGTGAGTTCCCGTGTTACACACATACATGGTAATGGAATAGCTTCTTCTCTTCTCTCTACAATATTGTAACTGCATTTCTTCAAGTGGTCGGCCATGCTAAGGATGTCAGCAAATTTCCACTCATTCACAGAACAAAATGCAGTACTGAATCGCCATACCTGAAAGAAAACTAGACTTCAGATTCAATTTGATTACAAGGATTCATAATACATTTACCACTCTAACTACACACATTTCTACTTTGATGGAGAAACCATTAAAGACTTGACATAACAACTGTATAACCCTGGGTATAACACTTAGCCACTCTAAGCATATTTCATCATCTGTAAAATGGTGATACTACCTGTAAGTATTTACCTCCTAAAGTGTTATAATGATCAAATGAGAATATACATAAACCTTAAAAAGTTTGTATTATGTCAGCAAGGTGGTTTTTCTTTTTAGCTACTTATTATACTATTATTTTCTTTCCAACTAGTATTACTTCTTTAAATATGCTTTGCCAATTTAGGCAAATTTTCCAGGATTTTCTAACCCTCATTACCTTATTAAGCATAAATTTATCCATCCTACACTGATGTCTCATTATAACTTCAAGGTAAGCCTGAGCTCTCACATTATGACAGCAAAGCTCTGGCATGTTCGGAAGTGGAAAGTCTTCTAATTATGGCAATAACCTCTACATCTATTGACCAAGAAACTAAGCTAAAAGAAGCTCATCATTAAAAATAACTGCCAAATGATGGAAGTGATTTGGCCACTGCAGCTTATGAAATCATTTAAAGCATAAAGGGTTGTAATCTAAATAAGTGGAGTTCTCAAATGATGAAAATAGGGCTATTTCAAATACTTAAGAAGGCATGTGACACCACTCATATCACACCTGAAAATGTTAACCTATGAAGATACTTTCCTATACGTGTATTTAGAAGAAGAAATAATAAAAAAATTACTATTCAATAATATACATGTGGCTATTTACACAAGTGTTGTATTCCTAAAAAGCTGCAGGGAAAAAATGATGTTTATAAAATTAATTTCACACCAACACTCCTCACCTTCCATTATAAAACTAGACATATTTTTACACAAGAACACTAACTTGGTATCACTGTTCATTTGTTTCCCAACATGATAGATAACGTGAACAATATCAAAGTGTGTTGCTTCCCCGTGCACTACCCCCATCCCTGTCCCCCATCTTACTCAAATGTTCCTGCTTAAGTCAGGAGATCTAAGTATTGTCCTCCTCTGACTATTAAGCAATGACAGTATTTTCTTTTCCGTGATTCAAAACCATGCTTCCTTGTAGATGAGAAATTGAGGCACAGAGTAAGATATATATCCAAGAGTTAGACATTTGAATTTACCATGTGTAGGGACAGTGCTGAGGCTGAACTAAACCCAATCATCTAATAGCTAAACAACATATGCCTGGTAAACAGCCAATACTATATCAAGTAGTGGCAGCTTTGATGGTAGTTCCCAAACTTACTACTGTTTATCAAAAGTAGAACGGGGAAGAATCATAATATTCGTTGGTGTTCTAGTAGTGTCTAGGGTCCCACCATCTTCTCTTGGAAAAGGAGATATTTTATTCTCTGTTGCCATGAATAGTAGCAATTCCTTCTCTGCTTAAAGAAAACTAGGTATAGAGAATTCTCTGGGGATGTGACCATATTGCTATCCATGTTGCCACTCCCCAGTAAGAGTCAAGGATATTCTAGGGCCTTTAGCTTATGGAATTCTACTGATGTCATTACTTCTATCTTCCCCAAACCAGTAAAAAGTAACCCATATTATTAATGACTTCAGCTATGACTTCTTGGGTAGCTACTTATCAGCTAACTGCAGAGGGTTCTATAACAGCAATCTCCCACGGTAGATAGAATTTAGCTTGGCTAAATCATGATAAAAATAAAGTATTAGTGATTGCTTCTAAGTAATGACAGAACTAAGAAGACCCAAGTCGAGGTTAGAGGTAGAAGAAGGGACTAGAACTTCAGGTGAAGAAATAAAAAATGGAACCATAAGCAAGGGAACTTCTGAAATAGTTTAAAAACAGGCTTTCCTTCTACTGTAATCTCTTATTTATGACAAATGGATAAAAGCAGACATGCCTCTTGCATGCTCACTTCTTTTTTAAATGCAATCAGGCACCTCAATCCCTATATTGATATGAATTTTTTTTAAATATTAAATTGGACTATGACTTTCTATAAAAAGTAGAAAATGGTGCCATTCTGATAATTTCTGCTTTACTTCCATATAGTTAAGAGTAACAGAATTTATTAAAATTCCAAATGAAATCCCGCTAATCTTTCAACGTACAACTTTATCCCACTCTCATTTTAATCTTTTACAGCAAATTTAAGCCTTAGCTGCCATGTACTTACAGGGCAACAACCTAACAGAGTCCCATATACCTTTCCTTCACTCGATCCCCAAATATACATTCTTACGGTAATTTAATTAGCAGGAAAAAAGTTGCATATCTGTATACCTTCCTTCTCCTACTCAGGCTATATCTTAATTAACCCCTTGAAATTAACATATGGAAACCTACTTTATGTAGAAGAAAATTTTCACCTAGCCTCCTAAAAAATACCAAACCATGGCTGCACTGATTTAAATGGAACCAAGGCTAGAGAGAGAATGAAAAATGATATGGTCATAATCATAAGTAGTTGTGACAAACTAATGAAGAGGTATGAAAGTGCTCACAGAAACATAAAGCAGTTCTAAGAAATCTGATGTTAATCTGTGATTGTGGAAAATAACCACCTCCATAAATTCATTTCTTCTAATTGTCATATTTGTAATTTCAAAGAAATTCTACTATCACTTTACCATTAGCGATGTGAGGAGTGATGGTCATCCTGGATGAAAACATTCACTTTATTAAGGGTGGGGGTGGGGGAAAAGAGTCAAACTTAATGAATTAAACTAACCTTTTCTCGTATCTGCCATGATGAATGTCCATCAGGGTATTTCCTTTTTTCCCACAGTAGTATGACCATTCCACGGGACTGAAGCAGACTGCCACACACATCCCTCATTAGCCGTGATACACATGAAAACTGGCATAAACTAAAACCATCTAAGAATCCAGCAATATGTTGTAGGACCTCAAAAGGAAGACTACTTAGATGGTCACTATGTAAGCCGAGCAAGCAGTTTCTAGCAGGCTCTACTAATACTGTAGATACACATGGCTGAACCCCAAATGATCTCAAATGGCGATCGTGTATAATCTTTGCCCCTTGTGCTGAAGGACAAAACCTACGTTGAGAATATGTACACCCGTAATATGCTAAAGGACACCTCTGTTCCATCCAGCCATTAAGTCCAGCGTGAATGTCACCATGAACATTCTTAAAATGTGAAGAAAATTCTTTTCTTCTAAATAATTGTCCACAAACAAATGTAAACATTGAACGTTGTTTGATTTGGTATCTTGCCACACATTCCAATACTAAATCCAGTCCAAGTGTCTGAAAAGGACTTGGATTTGAGAGCTGTGGGTTGGCATGATCACAAGCTGAAGCAGAAGCTATTTCCCCAACCATTGTATTTGTGGCTAAAATTGCAGAAGGAAGTGAAAAAGTTTGAGTCCCAAAGTCAACATGACAGACATCAACAAAACGACTATCCGATATTCCTCTTCCACCAGGAGAATCTCCTAGACAAAATAGCAAAGCAGCTGTGATTAGATCTATTCCCTGAAGGCCCATGGGGTCCTCAGTAACTTCCAAGTCTGCAGTATCTACTGCTTTATCTTCCTTCGCTTTGAACCAACAGGAACTAGAAAAGAACTTAAATGACTGGGGCCGAATTAAAGAAAGAACATCCACATTCCTTAATCCTTCTTGTTCTGCTTTATTTTCCAGTATTTCCCCTCCATTGGAGTCATCTGGTGAGAGGATATGCTGAACTGTTCCATTTGGCAAAGTACTAGATTGTATTTCTTCCTCAAGTTGTGCTGCTACTGAAAGTGAATCAGTAGGCAATGCTTCGTCAGAAGGTACACATTCACCATTTCTTAAATTACATAGATCTGATTCACTACTAAAATCCTCATCATGGTCCATCACTTCTGTATGCATATTATCCAAACGAAAGCCATTACAGAAAGCAGAAGTGCTGTCAAAACTATCATTTATGTCACAGCAAAAATCATTTGAGCCATTTTGTTCAGACTGGGGATTCTGACCAGAGACATTATGGTCAAAACCACCAACTGCTCCCATTTCATCTTCATCTGGATATTCAGAGTCTTTTGAGCTCTTAATCTTCAAGCTTTCTGTAGCATTTTGTTCTTCATCTATTTCACTTGGTGAAGCACATAGTCTTGTATTTAACATACTAATATCCCGTGTAGCAGTGTTCAGGATATCTAATGCAGCAGCCAAACTTCTAGTTGTTTCTACAGTAGCTTGGTAGAGTGCACCATAAGATTCTCCATCAACAGACACCAAACCATTAGTGTGTGGTACATCAGGGACACTTGATTTAACTGGAACTTGTTCTTTGGATTCTGATATTTTATCAGTTGCTTTTGACATCATAGTGGCAACTTTGAGAGATTCCAAGAGCATCCTTTGGTCCTGAAGGGCCAACGCCATGTCTAATTGTTCCACTTCATCAACATCTCTGCTTAGATTTTCATACGATTTTCGGTCTGCATAACTGACTGGCCATCTATTCCACTCCATAGTACAGCACACCACACTTGCAGGACATATTTCTAGATGTTCAGCAATTTTACTTCTGGTAATTGTAAAAGGACACCCAAAACCACTATTTAAACAAGGCACTCGTTCAAGTGGACACAATACTCGATGTTCATCAGCTTTGCATGAGTGGAAAACTGCTCCACAAACCAACGGACAGCCAATTAAATCACAGGAAATCCCAGTTTCTGGTCTTGCCATGCATCGTCTACTGACACAATTCACACAGTGCGAATGTTGCTTCTGCTCCTCCTCTTCCATCATGGCAAGTTGGGCTGTATTTGTAGAAATGAATCAAGAAGATAAAAAAATAAAGTAACTGGTCAGTTTATAAATATTTTAAAAGCTTTATGAAATAGTTTATAATGAAAATTACAAACATTTTTGGAGATGAAATACACTGGCATGTATGAAAATAAAACACTATAAGGAAACATACACCAAAAACAAATAATCAACACATCCAGGCCCTGATTAGAGCAAAAATGAAGAGTGTGAATAATGAATCCCTGAAATGGTCACATTATTTAAATTTGCAATGCATATTTCCATTGGGCTGGAATCAATATATTTTATAAAATTATAACAACAAATTATACAAATTCAAATACATGCAACCACTTCAGGAGTTTCATTAGTCATACTAATCAGGACCTAGATGCATTTTTTTTAATTTTTAAATTATTTTTAGTTTTTAACAATCACTTCCATAAGTTTCTGAGTTCTAAATTTTCTCTACCTCCCTCCCCTCCCCAAGACAGTGTGCAATCTGAAACAGGTTCTACATATACAGTCTTATTAAATATATTTTCACATTAATCATGTTGTAAAGAAGAATCAGAACAAATGGGAAGAACCATAAGAAAGAAGAAACCAAAGGAAAAAAAAAAAGAGAGAGAGCAAATAGTATGCATCAATCTGCATTCAGACTTCATAGTTCTTTCTCTGGATGTGAATAGAATTTTCCATCATAAGTGTTTTGGAGTTGTCTCAGATTAGATGTATTTTTAAAAATTTTTAAATTTGAGTTTCTGAATCATAGTCTCACAGTATATTAGAGATGACAGACACCTTAAAGATCATTTATAGTTTAATTACTTCAAAAATAATTGGTACTCTCATGCTGTCCTTTTGGATCTCTAAGGTATCTCACAACCAAGTCAATAGTTATTCTTCCCACTTGGCAGTTAGAACTCCATTACCTTGAGTATTGACATCAGTTAAGAGCCGGAGCTAAATTAATTTACTCTAAGGCATGAATGAGCTGTTAACAATATACTTTCATTTTAAGATTTGGGTAACCCAAATTTCAAGGTATTTTTAAAGAAAGGGGCCTTCTTGTGATCCTTCCCTATTCCCAGCTACCATTTTCCTCGTGCGGTGGTTCCAATCTCCCTTAGTCTGAAAGGAAGTAAAATGAATGCTCTGCATTGCAGTCTCAAGCACAGAGCAGGGTATCTTAACCTGAGGTCCATAAACTTAAAGAAACTCAATAACTCTATTTTAGTTTGGTTCCTTTGTTACTCTATGTATTTAATTGCAGTTAAAAAAGTTATTTTAAGGTGGGTCTCTAGGTTTCACCAGACCGTCACAAAAAAGGTTAAACAAAAAAAAAATTTTTTTAAACCCCTGCCCTAGAGATTAGAATTCTCTCTGGTCCTCCGACCCAACATATAATCACCTCTACAATGAGGCTAATTAAACAAAATGTTATAGGTTACAACAATGCCTGGAAGAAAATACATGGTTAGTAAGTGCTTGCTGGACAGAAGGAACAGTATGGATACATCAGAAATCAAGAATTCTAAATTCCAAAATGAAGCTGGTTTTCTCTAAATATAAAACTAAATCTAATCTATAACTGAAACATGGAATGAATAAATAATGAACACCAAAAATGATCTTTGAAACAACACTCTTTGTGAATGAAACATAAACGCAACCTAATTTACCAAAGTAAGCCCTACTAGACTACATAACTTGGTGTATACAACTTGCATGTAACTAAATACTTTCTGTCTACTGATCTTCAAAAACTGTCTATAATCATTCCACCACATGAAAATAAAATTAAGTTTAGTAAAAAATAAAGAGATGACAATTTTATAATAATGACTGTGGCTTTCAGTGGAGCCATATGCTAATTAAGACCATGCTAAGACCACATTGTCCAATTGACCCTTAAGACTTGGTCATGGATCACTTGGGCTAATCTTAAAGTTCAATCCTTTGAAGAGCTTTAATACAAAATAACAAGGTTGTCTAGGGCAGGGGACAGAACACTGTACAAAACTTTATTTAAAAATGTAAAAACCATTCTTAGCTTTCAGGTGTACAAAAATAAGTAGTGGGCTGGATTTGGCCCACGATCTATAGTTTGCCAACCCTCGTCTGGGCTTTTGAAAACACCTCAGAAGTTTCCAATTTAGAATGTTCAAAGACTAAGTATCAACGTTCATGACAAAAATATTTATGGTATCTATATAAAAACCTTAAAAATATTATCATATTAAAGCATTTTACATGTGCTAAATATGAAATTCAGTGAATTACACTCTCTCCCCACATGTACCTTAACATGTATGCGAGAGCATTGAGAGAATTTCTTACAAAATGATATATCTTTTTCTGGTTATTTTGCAATGAATGATCACTCAGGGATACAATGAATGTTCATTCAGACATTCATCAACCACTCTACTTGACACTAAACAGATCAAGAATTAAAAAAATAAGTAAGTCTTATGTCATAAATAAATAATAAAAGATAAAGTTAAAGAGTCAACATTTAAATCAAGACAGCCTACCTTAAAAAGTCCTGCTATAGTGGAAAGAACACTGAATTGAAGAGTCAGGTGACTTGGGTTCTAATTTCATTTCTAACTAGCTAGCTATATGAACCCTGGCAAATTACTTTCTTCTCTAGATCTCATTTACCTATTAAATTAGATGATCACAGCATTTAATGCTGAGAGTAACCTGTAAAAACCAACTAGTTCAAACATCAATTTTTACAAATGAAGAAACTGAGGTCAAGTGAAGTGACTTGACAAAACAAAGTCAAAATTTGCAGTTTGGTTCTCTCATTTCAGATTCAGTGCTCTTTCTGATATATCAAACTGCTTTTCTAGACTAGTCTAGATCACATCTAAGTCCTTTCCAGATTCCAAATTCTAAAATTCTGAGTAAATAAAACTGAACAGGAAAAAAATGAGATGAGAGTAGGAACTTAAAGATAAACTCTTTATAGTTAGTAAAATATTGGCCTGCTAATACTTGTTCATTCACTATATATTTATTCAATATGTGGGGAAAAAATATATTGTTATTGTTGTTCAGTTATTTCAGTCCACTCTTTGTGACCCCACACGGGGTTTTCTTGGAAAAGATATTAGAGTGGTTTGCCAATTCCTTCTCCAGCTCATTTTACAAATGAGGAAACTGAGACAAACAGAGTTAAGTGACCTGCCCAGAATCACACAGGTAAGTGTAGGAGGCTGAATTTGAACTCAGGAAGACGAGTCTTCCTGACTCCCGGTCCAGAGCTCTATCCACTGTACCACTCGAGAATATACGCAAAAATGCTCTATAAAACTTCATCACAATATGCAAACATAAATTACTAATGCTGCTACTATGTGCTTCTTGAGTCCTAGGATCACAAATGTATTATTTTTCAGAAATCTTACACATGAGCAGTGTGTAATTTTTCATAAGTAGTAATAAAATATAATAAATCACAATTAAATAATAAATTATACTGCAGCAGCAACTGTCGAGCTTCTGGACAAAAAGTTGCTTCTTCCTTTTAGGTTGCTCAGTGGATAGAGGACAAGCCTGGAGTCAGGAAGGCTTAACAACACAGTGTCTGGCACACAGAATGAAGTTAAGAAATGTTTGTTTCCTTCTTGTTCCCTCTCCCTCCCCTTTTAGATCTTGGTGTACATAAAACATACAATTCTCCCAAGTCTCTGTTATCAAAGACCCTTTCAGTTCTCCACAGCAAGCTAAAACTACTGAAATCAACCCATTTTTGCAAAAACTCTGAATGATATTAATTCTTATAATTGTTTACCAAGCACTTTACTTATCTCTTTTGAGCCCAAAAACAACCCTGTGATATAAGTACAAGTAGTATTATTCCTTTTTAATTCTGAGGAAACTAAGGCTCAGAGAGATAAAGTTATTTGTCTTGGATCACACTATTATCAAGTGTCAGAACAGGATTTGAACTCAGGTATTGCTTAAAGTATCATTTCCTTATACTACCTTCCAAAAAGCACTATCCTAATTATCAGTCAATATTAGATTCTTCTCATGAAAAATTTTTCATCTAACACATAACTGACACAATTTTACTTGGTTCAGTAGTACAATTCTCAGATGATATTTATGGTATTCAATAGTGCCAAGGAAATGACAGAGCTTAAATTTAACATTAAAGTAATATTAAAGAACTGAGTAAGCTACTAGGAAGTTAAGTAATTTTATGTAAATCGTAACTATATATTTTGAAAATTTTCAAAGATAAAAAACATGTATAATGATGAGATTGCTCAGTTAAAGATTATTAAAAAGCTAACAGAATAACCAATCATTAAGTTTTAAGAAGATACTTAAATTAAAACTTCAGTAAAAAAGAAAGGAAGAAAAGAAAAAAACTACATGATGACACCAAGAAAACAGCTGTAAGTGTTCCTGTTTTAAAATGTCAACAAGGCTGACTTCATTTGACATGCTGAAGTTTTATAAGCTTGACTGTTACTAAGAGAGAAACCTAAAAATACATTCAGTTCCAAAGAGGTGACCATTGCTCCTAGAATTTGTAGGGACATTCAATGTTATTGTACACACTTGTCAGCTGACCAAGCTAGCCAGAACACAACATAAAAACTTACAAAATTCAAAAGGTTTAATATTACTAGTTATTCCAAACAACCCTGTGCCTTACAGCTATTATAAAAAGTTTGTTTTCAAAAATAATGGGCGAGTGAACATATCTCAAACTTCAACAAATCAAAAATTCTAGTACCATTTAATTCCTCCTTTGAAAAATACTAAAGACATGAAGAAGTAATAATTACTGTGCACATACATAGCAAATAATTGACAATATTAATTATTTCTTTACTTTAGTATAAAAGTTTGCCTATAAATAACTTCAAGAAGTTAAGCAGTGGTATATTAACTAATTACCCAATTTTGAGATTGCAAGGAAACTCCACAACCTTCCTCTGTAGTCTATCTCAATGTTTAATCACTCTTACGGTAAAAA